CATCTCTACTATGCATGCCTTGCAGAAAGGCTCGTCCTCCCACCTCTTGCCACGAGTGGCTTGGAGACCGCGACCTCTGGAGCGATAGGAAGGGAGCGCGGAGCTCGTGGCAACAGCAGAACATGAGTGGATGGTCTGGCCCCAGGGGGCTGGACCCTCGTTATGTCCACCTGTGTGGGGGTATTCATATATGAATACCCCATCTCTACTATGCATACATTCCATATATAAACTGACCATGGCACAAAAGAAAGGTGTTTTTTTAAATCTTTTCCTACCAACAAAGTAAAGGTAAAGGTTGCCCTTGACATTTAGTTCACTCGTGTCCGACTCTAGGGCGCGGTGCTCATCCCCGTCTCCAAGCTGTAGAGCCAGCGTTTGTCCATAGACAGTTTCCGTGGTCACGTGGCCAGCGCAACTAGACACGGAATGCCATTACCTTCCCACCGTGGTGGTACCTATTTATCTACTTGCATTTACATGGTTTTGAACTGCTAGGTTGGCGAGGAGCTGGGACAAGCAACGGGAGCTCACTCTGTTGTGTGGATTTGATCTTACGACTGCTGGTCATCCAACCTTGCAGCACAGAGGCTTCTGCAGTTTAACCCACAGCGCCACCCTACCAACATAATTGCAACAAATAGTCTCCACAGCTCAATTAGCATTGGGAAAAGAAGCATCCATTTAGATTAAGCAGCTAATATTAATAGAGACACAATATTTTGTCACAGGATGAAAAAAGCTGAATGATTTGAACTTTGTATGTGTATGTATTTTGTTGAAAATACCATCAGGAGAGTTTGTCTACTGATTTGTCCACTTGCAGTCATCAAAAATGTCATTAGTGTTAGTGGGCTAGATCCCAGCATTAGTCATATTTGGAGAAGATACACTGAAATCAATAGGCTGTAAACTAGATATGATGAAACTTAGTCTCATTGATTTCATTGGATAGTCTCTCACTATGACCAAGCCTGGATCCAACCATATGTTGCAATATTCACCCCATATAATGATAGGTGTACACAAATGCATACATGTTGTTTCATATTTCTTTCCTTAACAGAAGATTAGGTGGAAATACAGAATTACAAAAGACATTCAGTGCTGCCACCTCACATTTGGTTTTGTTTCTAAAACACATCTTTGCAATAAGTCTGTCTGATTCTTATCTCAAGATGACATATTGGTTGTCTGTTTCTCATAGTTAAAGAAAGCATAATTTAGGAGAGACTTATCTCGAGTTTCAGATTTCATCCCATGAGTCATTCTGAAGTAAGATCATTGTGCTTTTTCCAGAGAGAAAGAAAAATAACCTATTGAAGCTGAGAACACAAAATGCCCTTCCCCATGCTGTTTGGGAATAAGAAAGTAAATACTCACAATTTTCCTTGTCCTCAGTGAAGACACACCAAGATATCCTCTAAAAATGGGCAGCTTATGTGAGATTTGTTTGCTCCTACACAACAAAGAAGTGATCAACTCTTTTTCACCAGTAATAGTGTTCCCAAAAACTGTTTTTTGTGTGTGGGGGAAAACCTCCATTTCCGACCAAGAACTTCCTTTGTTGTGCAAAATCCAAAGTTTCTGTGGAAAATACAGGTGGTGTGGAAAAAAATTCTTTAAAAAAAATCACAAAATATGAAATGTGAAAAAGTGAAAAATGCACAAGAACTCACACAATCTTGCATAGCTGGAAGAAAACTAGTGAAATTTGGTTTGCTTCTTTTACCTGAAAGAATAGGTGTAAACTGAGATCCTTTCTTGTGCATGATGTGATTGCTACATGTGATAAGTAGTCATGTTCTCCGCAAGACAGCTGATCAGGGAAAGTTTAGGTTGGTTTCCCAACTGCACTTAATCTTCATGAGAAATGACTTAGCAAATCACAGGACTGAGATTTTTGGGATGAAGTTCCAGTCCCATAATTTAGTAAGAATCCATCAGGCCAAATTATGAGACTGGAAGCAGCCCTCTTACCTCCATACCATTCCTACACTGCTTCTTTATGCTCTTTGAAAAGTGCCCCACAGCACTCTGGGAATTATGAGGATACCCTGCAACTCCCAAAAGTGCACAAGGGAGCAAGTTCTGGCAGAGGCTGTCTCCCTAAAGGGAATCCTTATGACTTCTACAATGCAGCAAGACACTTTTCTAAAGTTGTGAAGAATTGGCATGGGAACAGCATGGAGATACAAAAGCTGTTCTACTTCTTGTAGGTTTGACAGTTCCCAGTCCCATAATTAGACCTGGGGGTTTCCCACTGAATTAAGGGACTGGGAATTCATTACTTCCAACAATCCCATCCCTAACACATGCTATACATCCAGATATTGGATTACTGTAATGTGCTCAACATCCCATTGTTTTTGATGGGCATCTTTATTTCAAGAACTTTGTCAGCTACTTTTTAGATGTTCAAGTGACATGACTAAAATATGAATAAATATTTCTATTTATCGAGTCTGTAAAGTTTTTGAAATAAATTTTTTGTGCAGTGAGTAGACATGAGTTGTTACGATGCACTATTTTAAACTCATTGCAGTATACATGCAATTCTATAAGCTTAAATGTAATATATTGGTCAAAATCCTATTGCATTGCATAGTAAAACTCAGTAAAAATCAATGAAGATTTTGTGAGTCAACACCTCCATAAGCTCCTTTGCTTTAAACGTACTCTAACTACAACTTACTTTAGCATAGAAAGTTGTGGTTAGAGTATCCCCATTTGATTTAATGGAACTTATGAAGGAATGGACTCAGTAAACCCCCACTGATTCAGTAGGCCTAATTTAGTGCAATTTACTACACTAAGGAACAAGATTTTGGCACTTACTAGCAGAGGAGAACAGTGCACTTGCAGAATACTTTGTGAACAGTAATGTCTTCATTCTTGTGGTATCATAGTTGGTAACCAAGGCACTGTTGCACTGGATTTCTCCCTTACCCTTAGTTCAGATCTAGGTGTCCATGAGTACAAAATCATTTGCACTAGCAGAATGACACCAGTGATGGAACCAGCTTAATCCAGCCATCAGTAGATGTCTATATAACGATATGTTAAAATGTATCTAAAACCAGCGTAAACATATAGTTGAATGCTGTTACCGTTTTTCAGCACAGGAGCAAGTACATCAAAAGCAGCTATGTGGACTACTAGCTTAGCAAACACGGATCGGGATGCAGAAATATATCGAAATGTGTGCAAAACTGGCTCTACCATTAAACAACACAACAGTTTTTTTGGGTACCATTAATCAAACCGTTGGCTTAAACACATTGTAGGTTTAATTATTTTGACTGTGGCACCCTAATGCCATGAGGCACATCTGGGGCCTTCTGATCCAAAACTGTGGTGGTAATACGTCTGTATTAATTACTATGCAGGTAAAATATAGATCTTCAACTCTGGTATCTCTCGTGCTGCATATGGCTTTCTGCATGTGACTGTATCTCATCAGCATTTACAAGGGGGGTTGGAATGTTCTCTTTCCCAGATGTTTTGAACTACAGTTCCTAGACCCCCTTACCAATAGCCCTTCTGGACTGAATTGATGGTAGATGTAAGACAAAATACCAGTCTGCAGGGCTGAATGTGCCCCCATGTAGTCTATAGTCTACTGGCTTCTCAGAAATAGTTCATGTACCCTACAATAAATGATTGCCATATGTGAGCGGCTGCCTGTGTTCACCTGAAGAACACCAGTTGAAAAGTCTTGTTTTCACTGAGAAGTCCGCAGAAGGATGCAGAAGCTTCATTCCTGTTTACGGAAATGATTCTTCTCTCGTGTGTCAATACACGATGCTAAGGTATTTGCTGTGTATTTGTAGTTCTGTCTGCAAAGTTTGTCAGTTGTTGATGTCTTGTTTAATCCACAATCTTAAACAGATTTGGAAGCATACAATGACATCTGAAAGACTAATGACAGAGATGAAGAAAATATTCGTTGACACCTAAGGCAGAACATAAAATAAATGTTTGCACTGAAAATCCACTTTGAAGACATTGTCAAAAGCTCCAGTAACAACCACCACTGTTCTGCCTTTTTAAAATACAGTCCTGAAACTGTGGGATACAAAATGCATTTGATTTTAGGATTCTATCACATTGGATGGTGACAACATTGCAAATTGCATCTTGATAACACCTCCAACTTTGTAAGACAAGTGAGTCTGTTCTCAAGTGCTGACAAAATCTCATACATTTGAATAAATCTGCTCACAGCCAGCATCCTAGTTTCAAACTTCTCTCTACCCAGCTACGAAAGCGACTGAGGAAAAAAGAGATTCAAGGTCATTTCTTCCTACTTAAACTGAGATCCCCAACTGCGAAGGATGGCAGTCACATGTCCACTGTTTTGATGTACATTTAAGACTCTAGTTGTAAGACACTGGCTAGGTTAAATTGGCATTTGACTGTGGCTGTCCACCAGTAGTGCTGCCCAGTAGAAACTCCAGTTCCCTCTTGACAGAAATAATTAGGTTTTACCACCCCGAGTGGGAAATGTGAACATAGTAACAAACACTTTCCAACTCGAGCGATCTCTTGAATTCTGCCAAAGCTGTTTTCTGTTTCCTGCTTAATCTCTATGCAGGAAACACTGCTCACTTCAACCCACAATTAATGATAATGTTACTCTCTTCTGTTGTCATGAGATTTTTATTATGCTAATTAATAAAGAGAAGAAAATCAGTCATTTGGGTACAATTGATGGGGATGTATATTTCATGAGGCAGATGCAGTTATTGAGAAGTGGAAGTGGTTCAGATCTTTCTGAATAAAGCATAAATAAATACACGGGCAGGAACATCTGCTGTGGATGTATTTGTAGTGCTGATGCCTAATAAGACCCACACGTTCCCCTCTCAGCCTACATCACGGCTTACCCCATCACTGCGGAATTTCATTCCATTACAGGAAAAGTTCAACGATCAAGTGATCTCAAAGATTCCACTTTTTCTATCCTCTATAATTATTCTCCCAAAAGCGAGTATGAATAAGATTATGCAACAGTTTTATTTTAAGCCTTTGGCAGATAAACAATTCACCCATTTTCTAACAGGTATAGAGTAGATAACAGCTACAAAAGAAACCCCACATTTAATATAAGTACGTAGCAGGAAATGAACAACATGAGTAGAAGGTTTTAAATCAGCAAATCAAAAAAGCCCACATAATAAAAAGGCCATCCCTAGATTTCAGACATGAGAAAGACAGTTTTCTGAGAAAGTTCAAGTTTTCACCACAGTGGTAGGTCATACGCCTTTCTGGTCAATATGTCCAAAATTATGAATCTTTCCCCTTGATTTTCTTTTTTTAATTACACTGGTAACTTCTCATCCATGTCAGCAATTACATAGGATACAACTGTCCAAACAGCAGCACAGAGATTCATCTCAGATGGATTCTGAACTGTCATTGTATCCCCTTGGGTATGATGAAACCAGAAGTATTTGGTGATATCATCACGCAGGCTGGCACCTGTGGAGAGAGTAGGCAGAAAGTCACTTGCTTTAAATGTTGACTTTTTCACTTACTTTGACAGAATTCTCATAAGCTACAGAGAGTCTCTATATGACCCCTGGTTGACAAAAAGATGTACCACCAACAAAACATGCCAGTCAACCGCCATCACGCAGGTGATTTAAATCATAAGCTAGTTATGACTGAAACCGAATAAACAGGAAACATTCTTAGAAATAAAACTCTTGGTCACTTTTTGTGACAAATATGTGTCTGCAAATTTGACAGTCTCTGGTGCAGGGTCCAAAGTACCGTCTACTCCGGCTTTTTTTGGATCAGTTTCAATTGTTGTGGCCTGGTGACATGGACAAGAAACATGAATGTGTCCACCCTGCTACACATAAGCTCCATCCTTGTCCATCTTCGGCAGTAAGAGCTAATAGGGATGGAGTAGCCGAGAGGGTCTAATATATTTACATGCTGTTAAGTTGATTCCAACTTATAGCACCCCCTTCCAGGGTTTTCTTGGTACAGAGAAAGTGGTTTACCAGTCCCTTCTCCTGAGGGTACTCTGGGACTGTCCTGCTCACTCAAGGCTACACAGGCTTGCTATTTTTCAAGGAGGCATGGTGGGAAATAGAACACTCCGCCTCTAATTCTGCACTCAGCTGCTCAACTGGATGTAACTATCTAGCCAGCAGGTGCCAAACACCTCATTATTAGGTACTGGCGACCTTGAAAGAGGTGGTGCGACACTGACCTGAAGATGGCTGCCTTGGATGCGGAAGTGGCCACAGAATACACTATATATAACTACAGTATGCATTTATAAACACAATGTATATCAATATTATTTACTTCCTGAAAAATAGAGATGTTTCCAAGATTTTCTTGTCATCACATTTCTTATCAATGATATTAAGATTTTGTTTGGATGACAGATCAGTGTATGAGGGGAGAGTCTCTTCTTTCCTTAGTTTGTGCAGTGACAATATGAGAGACATGCACTTAATCTGACTGTGTTTAAAGCAACTGAACGGCAGAGGATATCAGCATTGAAACCAGCTGCATGATTTGCCACATGATGCTGATGTCATGGGTCTTCTTACACAAGAAAGCTTCACATTGTACAAACAAGTTACCTTGAAAATGTTGTTCAAATACTTATTCTGTGTAGACATTTCAGTCAAGCAGCTGTAGAAAATCATTTTTAAATTCACCTTTTCCAAAGTCCCCCAGGTGCTGCTTAATTACACAAACCAATGACACAGCAGGTATTCCATTAATCAGAACCATTACAAAGTGAGGGATATATTTTTGAGGTTTTTTTTTAAAAAAAAAAATAAAATAATGTTTTTTAAAAAGAAATTCACTCACTTTTCGGGGTTTTGTGACAGATAACCACTTGAATAAGTTAAGGTTAATATGTTTTAAACCACTCTGAAACAATCCAAGAGGCCTAAAACATTGCAGGTGGCTTTTCATTTGTGTACTATGTGGGCATTTCAGCCCTGCAAGGGGAAGGGGTCCTTTGGAGCCCACCCTGCCACAAGGTGTGAGGGGTTATTGTTGCAAGGTAACATTCTACGCATGTTCGTATGAGAAGTTTGGTTTAATTGCTTTAATCCCTTTCCCAGTGATTTGCAGCCACAATCCAGTGGTTCCCAGATGCGAAAGCTGGCAACTCATAACTGTCCCACTGAAGTGAAGAAAAGACATGATTTCCAAATGACATACTGATATTATTTTGAGTCCTTTACCACCTTCTGCCTGAACACTTGACATATCTCATCACTGACACTGTGGCCAGGAAATGTAAAGGGTGTCTAACTTTCCAATAGCTTTATGGGATCTTAAGCAATTCACAAGGTATGAGCAGCTGTAAGACTGGGAAATAAGCCATTCATTACGTTCAAGAAAGTGTTGCCATGAAGGAAATTAAAATAGACTCTGAGGTTCCCTAAAGTAATTCTTTAAGCAGACAAATGCAAACAGAAGCAAAATACTTAGCGTCATGTAGAAAAGCAAGGGAAAGGGACAGGATCAAGAAGTAATAATATTTATAGCTTATTAAGTCTGTCAGTGCTTTAAATGATGCAAATGCATGGGTGTGCAAACATCAAAACAATGAAGGTGTTTACAAATGGGAACATCTTTCCTGGATAATATCAGTCTCCTGGGAAGAACTGGCTGAGAAGTCTCTCCCTCCCTTCTCTCTCTCTCTCTCTGTGTGTGTGTGTGTGTGTGTGTGTGTGTGTGGTGTGTGTGTGTGTGTGAGAGAGAGAGAATGAAGAAACAACTTATAGCAACTGGTTTTACCAGTTCCATTCCCAGTGTCCATTGGGTAAGGATTCAAACCCTGTTTTCCAGAGTCCATCGCTCTATCCACTATACCACAATGGAAAGACATAATGGTTGGCCAAAACTGCATGTAACACATGGAGATAGTTTCCTGAAAAGGATCCTTCCCTGGTGTTGTTCCTTCAAATTTCCCTGATTCTCCACCATGTTGACTTAAAAGTCAGTCACTCTGAAATGAAAGATGCTTGCTTCTGATTAGATATCTGTCAACTTGCTCTGTTAATCTCTGAGCTTCTCCCATCTTCCACTAGCCTTCAAATGTCATGGGATGGCTTTTAAATCTCTACGTTTGCTTTTGAATAAAGCATCTTTGGTGTGTGCTTACAGATAGATGTTCTGATATATTAAAAAGAAAAGAAAATATCAAAAAGAGGAATATTCAACTGAACTGAAGCTCTATGGACAGCTGGAAGAACGACCCACCCACTCTATAATTGTCTGTACTATTTTGAAGATGTTCCTCTAATATGTGACATAATGGCAGCCCCCAAAGAGTAGAAAGAGAGGCAGCATTTGTTAAAAAATGATGCAGCCATTTTGAATTTCCCAAAATTAAAAAAGCCATTCAGATCAGCACTTTCTGAGAGGAAATGGCTGCTCTAATTTCTCTCCTCCCCCCCAAATTTGCTCCACTCTCAAACAAACTCAAGTTCTGAGAGGAAATGGCTGCTCTAATTTCTACCCCCCCAAAAAAAATTTGCTCCACTCTCAAAGCATTACTCAAGCAAACAAACAAACAAACAAACAAATGGATGTTGAAATGTGCATAATATAATCTTTGGAGAGGTGAGACGGTGTGTGTTTTCCTGTTGGTTCTGCTGACTTCTCAATATCTTTCACAACCACTGACCATGGCTCCTTATCTACTGTTACCTGTTTGAATTGGGATTTGGAAGCATTGAATGACAGTGGTTCCAGTCCTTCTTGGAAGGGTGAACCAAGAAGATGGTACTGTAGGACACCTGCTTGACCCCTTGGCTGTTGGCTTGCAGTATCCTTCAAGGCTCAACTTTTATCCCCAATAGTATTTAACATATGCATGAAACCACTAGAAGAGGTTGCTGAATATTTTTGAATTGTGGTTAAAAGACTCTAACTGTACAGCAGAATTGCAGGGATTTACAGAGCAGAACTAGCTTCAGGTCCCCCCAGAGTAGACCACTCCTTATTGTTTCAGCAACTGGAATTTACAGTCTCAATAACTCACTCTGAAACATTGGTAAGAGAAAGAATAAAAGGTTTCATTTACTCACAACTGAACAGATGAAAACCAGCATACAATACAAAACATGGCTGAATGTGTGCAGCAACAGACCTCAACAGACTAACAGGCTGCTTCCAGCAGACTCTTGCAGACTACATTCTTATTCTAACTGCACTAACTGCTAACTGCCAACAGACTGAAAAAAAAATGAAAATAAGTAGACTCTTAAGTTGAGAGGCATGACTCTCCTCAAAATCAGAGACAGGGAATGAACAATTGATTACAGCTGGATTAATTGACAATCACCCCTCCCAGAAAGGTCCCTCCCAGCCAAACCTACTAAGGTTGAAATAACTCTACGAGAGGTTGTCCAGACTTTGGGATTCAGTACCATCAGTACACTGATGATGACACTCAACTCTATCCCTCCTATCCATCTAATTCCAAGGAAGCTGTCTCTGTCTTAAAACGATGCCTGAGGTAGGTAGTGGATTGTATGAGGGAGAACAGAGTCAAAAGGCAGACTAGGGAATAGTGATTCAACTTGTGTTGGATGAGTTTGCATACCTCCTGAAAACTCAGGAGGTAAAATGGACAGGAATGGGTGAATTCAGCTCAGATGATTATCATATCTACTATTGTGGGCAAGAATCCCATAGAAGGAATTGAGTGGCCCTCATAGTCAACAAAAGAGTGGGAAAAGCTGTAATGGGATACAATCTCAAAAATGATAGAATGAGTTTGCATACCTCCTGAAAACTCAAGCGCACAGCTTGGCTTTAATTGTGGATTCCACTCTGAACCTGGATGCCTGGGTCTTGACAATGGCCAAAAGTATGTTTGCATAATTAAAACCAGTACTCCTGTTCCTTGAAAGGCCTGAATTGGCTATGGTGGCACATGCTTTGGTTATCTCCCATTTGGATTACTACAATGTGCGCTGCATGGGGCTGCCTTTGAAGACTGTTTGGAAATGTCAACTGGTGCAAAATGCTGTAACCAGACTATTGTCTGGAGTTGATTACCGGGGTTGTGTGAGAACTCCCCTTCTTCATTGGCTGCCAGTTCATTTCCAGACCCTATTCAAAGTACTGGTCATGACCTTTAAATCAAAGGTGATTCAAAACACTCAAGTTCTTAATACTGTATGCCTTTTAATTTTAATCTAGTGACCTTTATGGCAGATCCTTTAATGCAGTGCATATATGATGCTGAAAGTCAGTGCTAGCTACATTACTTTTTAACTTAATTCAAATCTACATTGCAGCTTAAATGATTATGTTTAAAAGGGAATCAACTGGCCTGAAAAATACATGGAAAGCATTTTAAATTGACTGGTTTGGCAGTGAAATAAATATACAATATCTGCACTGAAATAAATATACAATATTGTATACTCTATATTATATATTTATGTACAATATTAAAGAAATATATATGCTTCCAAAAAAAT